TAAGCATTTGAGAGATATCTTGTTGAATTGTTTTTCATATCTTTTCAGATTTCTCTTTGTTTAACTATCTCCATGGAGATTTTCCTCTTATCTTTTAATTTACCCAAAGCTTTTTTCACAGTCATTAGTTACATGCATTCATTCATTTTTTCACTCTGTCATGTGTCCAGTTGCACTAAACATTTAGAATATGGCCTCCAAATTAGTGTTACATCTCCCAGGTTTGGTGCATTATTTCTAAATATCCTCATGAGCTTAAGCTGNCATAGGTCAGCTGGTAACCCAAGGTGTGGTGCCTGCTACTCAGTCCTTCCAGCTAGTACAAATAACTTTTATGAATGCTTTCAAGTTATGAAGTGAGGGTCCCTCCCTTGTACTTTGCCCTGCTTTCTGATATTGGTGCCTCTGCAGTAATAAGCAAAGGGAGGTTTATGAAAAGGAGGCTATTATATCACTACGAACTTTACTTTTCTCATTTTGTCAACTAATATTGCCATTTTTGAAATTCTCTATCCTATAGGATGTATGGCTGAAAAAAAAGAAATTTATGTAAAAATGTATTTTAAATGGTAAAATATTAAGAAAATATCAATCCATGTCATTCTTATTTTCTTATTACTATTATCAATATTAATTTCAATTCTGTCTAAGGACTCCTGTGTTAATGTTGTCAACGAAGAAAATGATGGAATATTGTGAAATAAACAAAAATGTTGTGAATTATTCTCCAATTTCTCTTCTTTATTTGAAGTTTTTAAATGGGCAATACAGATATAGGAGGCTGCTTGTCTGCACAGGTGGGAAAGATTTCCTAATAAACACTGGTACCTCTTTCCCACTCCAGGTGTCTGGAATATGACTCAGGTAACCATTTTGGGGCCTTGAGAATTTTTCTAAGTTTACACAGGTCTTATAGGGTTAAAGGTAATTAAAAGTCGGTGAATCAAGATTTAAAGATCCTCAATATAAATATATTAGTAATATCTCTGGAAGCAGTGATTTTAAAAAGTGAAAAAATAAAATAAAATAAAATAAAATTCCTGATATGAAATCTACCCCTCCATGAAACAGAAACCACTTCCACATAGCTAACTCATTTTGCCTTTTTTCAAAATGTTTTTCAAAAATAATGTTATGAGAAGAGAGTAAGAAAATTCAGCTTAGGAGTATAGAATAAAGCAAAAGAAAAACAAATCATATGGAGACT